AAAAAAAGCTTCAACACCCCCTCAAATTCCACAACCCCCCAAAACCTTGAACCCCCAAATCCTTGGACCTCTCCAAGACCTTGAACTCCCCCAAAATGAGCTTAAATCACTCCAAAACCTTGACACCTCCCCAAGAGACTGAATCCCCTCCAGAGGCCTTGAATCCCACCCAAAAACGAGCTTCAATGCCTTCCCAAGTTCCAACAGTCCTCAACTTTCAAAACCCTGCAAAAGCTTCAGCGCTTTCAAAACCTTGAATCTCCCCAGATAACCTTGAACACAACCAAAATGAACTTTGACCCATCCCCCCTCGAAACTTTGAAACACCCCCAGAACCTTCAACTGTCCCACCCTGAGAGTTTCAACTCTCCTGGTGCCAGGGGCAGGTTTGGGGGTGTCCTGGAGGGTTGAGGTGTCCTGGGAGAGTTTGGGGTTCGCCCTCTTTGGTGGTGACTTTGAACAGCATTTGGGAAGATCACTGTGGCTAGGGGTGTTTGGGGGTTCTGGAGTCCTGGTGGGATTGCTGTGGTTTGGAGGGTTCCCAGGGATCTGGGGGTTCCTCACCCTTGGTGCTGATACCACGCAGGTCAGTGATTTTGAGCAGCATGCGGGGGAAACGCTGTGGCTGCCGTGGGCGCCGGCGCCGGGCATAGACCCGGAGAGCCTCGAGCAGTGGTTCCTGCAGCCGCTCCACATGCCGGGGCTGCTCCAGCTCCATCCGGTCTGGGAAGAGAGGGAGAGACCACCTGGATAGACACTGTCCCCGTGTCTCCACATGCCTTCTTACACATGATCTTCTGCCTTAGAGATCCCCGTGTCCCCCTGCTATCACCTCGTGTCCCCACCTCTGCAGCTGAGTGGCCACAACTCAGTCCCCTGCCCACCATAACCCTGATATGCCCCATGTCCCCCTGATGGCCCCCATATCCTCCCCCACAGATGAGGCAGATGACACTGAGCAGCCCTGACTCAGTCCCATGTCCCCATGCCCCCCATGTCCCTCTGATGTCCCGCATGTCCCCACCCCCACAGATGAGGCAGATGGCACTGAGCAGCCCAGTCTCGGTGTCATCGAGCTGCAGCGGCAGAAGCTGCCCCGCGAAGGCAAACACAAGGTCAGTGAGTGGCCCAAATCCCGCGTTGTGCATCTGGGTCCGGGTCAGTGTCAGCCCATCCGAGAACGTCATCGTGTCCTGCTCCGGTGTGTAGCGAGTGCAGATCCGCAGCATCTGCAGGGCAGGGACCCAGAATCACCAAGGGGCACCAGAATACATCCAGGGGCACCAAAAATCCATCCAGGGTTAGCCCATCCCATCACTGTGTCCTGCTCTGGAATGTAGCAAGTGCAGATCCACAGCATCTGCAGGGCAAGGATCCCAAAATCCACCCAGGATCTGCCCATCCTGGAGGACTATCATGTCCTGTTCCAGCTCTGCCACAGGACAGACACAGCACTGAGGGGAGGCTGGGGTCAGGGACGCCCCAATATAGTCTAAAAGCATCTTATGGGCCCCAAATTTTCCCACCAAGCAGTCCCGAAACCCACACAGACCATCCCAGGAGACCTCCCAGCCCCTCTCCAGGACATATGTCTGTGGGGTGGTGAGGTCAGAACCACCATGGGCCACCCCAAGCCCCTTCAAGGAGGCCCCAACACCCCTGAGGAGCCCCCAAACATCCTGAGGAGCTCACCCAACCCCTGGAGATGCCCAGCCCTCACCAGGATGTCAAGGCAGGCAGCCTTGAGCAGAGTGATCTGGTCAGCCATGCTGAGCCCTGTGAAGCCCGGGAGCCGCTTCGCAAACTCCACAATCTTGATGATGCACTTGGTGGCCAATTCGCTGAACTTGTCCCACAGCCCCAGGTCCAGCTGTACCCGGTGGTCAGCGCTTGAGTTCTGGGAGCACAGAAGGGGCCCCAGCTCTGTTAGGGGGATTGTTCAGGAGCCCCTGGGACCTCCTGCAACCTCACCACCCTGAACTTGTCCCACAGTCCCAGGTTCAGCTGCACCCAGTAGTCAGTGCTCAAGTTTTGGAGGGCATGGGCTCAGTTATGGAGGTTCAAGGTGTACTGGGACTCCCTGAGACCACTGGGACACTGTGAGACCCCAGTCTCAGTAACCCACAAGTCCAGCTGCCATGTGGTCCATGCTCATTTTATGGGGGACACAGGCTCAGTTATGGGGGTTCAGGACCTGCTGGGACCACTGGGACCCCCTCTTCAGTGATCCCCAGGCTCTGGACTCAATGCCAGCCCCAGGTACAGCTGTCCCCTTACTCAGCACTTGAGTTTTTGGGGGTCAGGGAGTGCAGAGACCCTGCTCTGGGCTCCAGGGTCAGCATCGCTCCCCTAAGTAACCCCCCAAATACCCCCCCACAACCCCAGTGCTCAGTCCCAATGCACCACTCCCCCTGAACTTGTCCCCCAGCCCGCCCAGTGCTCAGCACTTGTGTTTTGGAGGAGTCAGGAGGGAACCGGGACCCAACTATAGGTGTGAGGGTTGGGGTTCCCCCCAAAGGGACCCCCCAAGACCACCTGGGGACAGAAACCTGGTGCCCCACTCTCCCTGAACATGTACTTCAGCCCCAGCTGCCCCCAGCGCTCATGTTTGGGGGGGATCAGGACAGAGCAGTGACCCTGCCCCAGATCCGAGAGTTGGGAAGAGGGTTGGGGTCCCCCCTCAGTCCCCCCAGACCCCCAGCCCTGCTCACCGTGGTGTACTTGCCCAGCTGGCCCAGAGAAGGGAAGGTCTCCTGGTGGGCTCTGCTGACCCTCCGCACCAGCTCAGCCAGCTCAGGGCTCAGCTCATCCCCCCCCAAATCCTCCTTCACCTCCTTCTTCCTCTTGTTCCGGTCATTCTGCACAGCTGGGGGGTGGGATTTGGGGGGTCAGAGGCATTGGTAGACCCCCTTAGATCCCTCCCAGGTGGGGTTTCCTTCCCCCTCCCCCAAAAACCTCCTCAAGGGACAGGAACATCCCCACCCTGAGCATCCCCAGGACCCTGAGACCCCTCAGTGAAGCTTTGAGGGAACCTCAATTTTAGGGGACTCCCCTGCAGGACCAAGAAGGGGGAACCCTTACACCCAGCAGTCCCCTTCACAGCCCCAAACCCCTCCCAGGAACATCCCCAGGTCCACTGAGACACCACCAGAGCCCCTCAGTGATGTTTTGGGGGACTCCCCAACTTCGGGGAACCCCAGCCCAGACCCCCTCGCACCTTCCTTGGACATTCCGACCTGGAAGCACTTCTGGAGGCGGCAGAACTGGCACCGGTTCCGGGTGACCTTGTCGATCTGGCAGTTCCGCTCCCGGTGACACGTGTACACCATGTTCTTCTGGATGCTCCGCCTGAAAAAACCCTGGAGTGGGAAAACAGGGGGTCAGAGGGGGCCAGGGCATCCCCAAACGGGAGGCACCAGTATCATATCCCCAGGGATCCCAGTAAGGCAGGATGGAGTTAGGTGGAGTTCCCCTGTGGCTCCCCAGTATCCTAGGGTGGGGCACAGGGCTTGGGGGGCTCCCACTGTCCCTGAGGGGTCCCCAATGCCTGGGAAGGGTCCCCATCCCCCAGGGGTGGTCCCACTCATCCCACAGGATCTGTAATATCCCCAAGTACCCCCATTACATCTCCCCAGTGCTTGGAGAGTTCCCACTCCCCCAAGGAGTCCCTGTTCCTCGATTAGGTCCCCACTGCCTGGGGGTTCACCTTTTCTTGGGGCTGATCCCCAGTGTCCCCGGGACCCTCCAGGGCCTCCTCCAAGTGCTGGGTCCCCACTTCCCTCATTCCCCTCCACTTCCATCACAGGGTCCCCACTCTTCCCCCCGCACCAGGGTTTCCACTGTCTCAGGGGGGTCCCCCTGCCCCACTGAGCCCCTGGCCCCCACACACCTTGCAGCCCTCGCAGGAGCTCACTCCGTAGTGGTACCCAGAGCTGCGATCGCTGCACACAAAGCAAGGCTTGTGCACACGGGGGGGAGGCAGTGGTGAGGGGGGGGCCGTGTCCCCCAAAACTTGCCCAGGGGAGGGCTCCAGGGCTGGGGAGGAAAAAGGCAGGGGGAGTTAAACAGTCCCTCTCAACCCCAAAGGGGCCCCAGACCTGTTGGGTCTGGGGGAAACAAAAGCACGGGGTGGGGGGGAAGGTGATTGTGCGGGTTTCACTGTCACCTCCACGGCCCTAAAACCTGCATTGCAAACCTCCAAAATCGGGGGCTGGGGGCTGGAATCCAGGGGTGCCACCATGGGGGGAGGAGAACTTATCAGTGTGCCTCCCCCCCCTCCCCTCTGGCCCCCACCCAAATCCCAAAACCTGGGGTGGGGATGTCCCCAGCGTCCCCAAAACCCAAAATTATGGAGAAGGAGGGTCCCTAGTCCCCTCAAATCCCCCCTGCGTAGTGCCGGGGGTGACACGCGGGGGAGGGAGGAGCCCCTCCCGCGCGCAGTCCGGGCGGCACCGGGGGAGGGGCAGCTGGTTTCAGATTTTTTTTGGGGGTGGATTTTGTGTGTTTTGCTAAAAAAAAAAAACCAAAATTGCTAAAATCGAGGAAATTCCGGCCTCGAACAGCGCGTTTATAACCGCGGGGGAGAGGGGCAGCAAGGGGGACTCCGCCCAGCGCGTGCCACAGGCACCCCAAAATAACCCGGAGGAGCGGGGGAGACTCCCCACCCTAAAAACGGAGCCGAAATTGGGGACCACACTCCGCCCCTCGGCACAGGGGCGAGTCCATAGCCCATAGCCCAGGTCTGGGGAGGGCTGGTTGTGATTCACCCATCAATACTGGGGATTCCCCGCGGAGGGTTGGGGCTGAGGGGGGTTTCATTTGGGGGGTGCGGGCACATTTGGGGGACCCCACCGTGCGTGTTTTCTCTTAAGGTTTGATTTTTTGAAGGGGGATGAACCCAAATTAAAGCATAAACCCCCAAAAACAAAGCACCCCAAAACCATCCGGGGGGAGCCACGACGCTGTGGGCCACCCCAATGTTTTAGGATACTCCCTGGCCCAAGGCGCGGTGCCCCCTCGGGCCTTAAACTGGGGGAGGGCGGCGGGAAAGCTCCTCCGCCCAGGGCGGAATTTGGATGGGGGGGGGCCACGGCGGTTCCCCCTCCAAAACCCGGGGGGTGACCCCCCCACCGCCCTGCTGAAAAGGGGCTCTCCTCACCCTGCCCCAAGGGGGCTCGGGCGGTTTTGGGGCAGCCCCGCAGGGGTTAAAGTGCCACATTGGCAGCGCGGGGGGGGCGGGGGGCGGGCGCGGCCCCGACTGGAACCAGTTGGGCTGAGGA